CATTGTCTGTCTGTCATTGCAGTCTCAAGGTCAAAACGCAGTTTCAGTTTCGCCCGCCATGGCGGTGAACATCCGAAGCAAGATTGTGCAGGTGACGAATATCTCTCCGTCGGCTACCACTGAGCAACTTCGGACGTTGTTTGGACATGTCGGCGTATTGGAAGAGTTTGTCATGTATCCACCGGATGATAGAGAAGAGCCAGCGAGCAAGGTAAGGTGTATTGGATAACCCCATGTTCATGCTTTCCTTATGGCAGGTTGCGTTCGTTCGTTATCTAGAGCCAATAAATTCAGAAGTAGCACTGCATCTAAACAATACTGTGTTCCTGGATCGCGCACTGATTGTTCTGCCTCTGGCTAATGGATTGGATTCCATCCCCGATGAGAAGTACGCTGATCTCGTCCGCGCTCCGCCTCATACAGCCGCCGGTGTTTTACCGCGGACTGCTGATTGGCCTTTGGACGTAATCAGTATGGTCGTGGGTCGTCCTGGTGAACAAGTTATTCAGACGATAGAGCCTAGGCTGTCCAGTCTTGCTTTTCCTCTTTATCCCCCTCTTCCTGCCACTACAGATGGGAGCCGAATCGAGGAGATAAGGCGAACGATTTTGGTTACCAACCTCGACCCAAAGACGACAGGAGATCAAGTATGTACTATACCCCTTCCCGGAACTGAGGTATTCATGTGGGACATTGCTCACAGACGCAAACGCTCCTGCAATTTTGAACTAGTGATGGATTTGTCCTCAACCCTGTTCCGTGTTACCATAGCCGGGCTGTCGACAGTTGTCAGCGACAGTATTAAGTATTCGCTAGAAATTTGAATGCTTGGCTAATNTGTATGGTTTATTTTCACGTCCGTGTTAGCATAGTCGGAGATGCCATCGAGTTTTCTCTACTGGTTTCATAGTGACGTGAAAATTTGCGCTACCAAACCTGATAGTCGAGACGAGTCCTTTCACTTAAGCATTGTGATATGTCATTCTCGAATTAATCGATGTATCTAGGAGGGCCCAATACAATTGCGGGTCTATTTGTGATGACCTTAGGCGGCATAGTCATGTATATAAATGTAGATGCAATGTCACTCCGGCAGTTGCGAGCAAGTAATGCATTTGTTATGATTACTGATCGGACATCATTGCCAAACCTCGTAAGTCGCGCGATTCAGCAGCACTTGCTCGTAAGGTCCTCATGATCTTCCCACACGTTTTTCAAGTCATTACTCAGATATGTCAGCAAAATTACGTCGACTGTGCTCCTGAACGTTTCTCTATCAAAATGTCATCGATTGCGAAATAGGCATGCTTTGGCATCAATTACATTTCCTTGAACCAAATCTGCATCCTTAAGAGCACTGAACATCGCGTTAAGCTGACTTAAAATCATAGAGTGCTTACCGGATTCGTTTAGTAACAGATGTCACTTTTTAGCGTTTCACATGCGGCTAATACTAATATTTCAATTTATTTTTTTCTGATCTCTGCAATATCTAAATACTGCTGGTGCTTAATGAATATCCTGCTTTCTGTGTGTCGTATTTTCCAGCGCGATCTTCCGTTATTGACGTTGCACCGTCGCACCAGCTGCGCACATATACTAATGGTGTTCAGTTCGGGATATCGGGTGGAAAGTTCGCTGTCATATTGTTCCGTTTCTCTTGTCTTCTTTATTTTTGCGAATTAGTTGAGACGGCTTGCACACAGGGCACTATCACTCCATAAGCTGCGCCGCATCACGAAGCTATTAGGCCCGGCTTTCAGGAGCACGTGGTTCTGACAACCCCAAGAAGCCACCATTTTGCTTAAAGGTAACTGACAGGTTACCTCAGTTTTAGTCACTGATATCCATTTACATTTTCATGTAATCACCGATACTAACGATTTTACGTGCCACTTCGTTCCTGGCCGCATGCTCAATTTTTGTGTGCTTCTGTTACAGGTTCTGGAGTTCTTCAACAAAAATGCCGAAGTGCGCTGCGTACGAATGGCTGGTACCGAGGCTGATCGTGCAGCATATGTTGAGTTCACTCAACAACAATCCATTGTGAAAGCATTTGGATTAATGGGTGCTACCCTTAATGGTCGACAGGTAATTTTCAAATACCTTTTTTAATTTTCTTCTAGATAATGGTCCAACATTCTAATTGTGCTATCATCAAACCTGCGAATAACTTCGCAATGTATGATGACACTGCAAAATTGGCGGGTTCCAATGGTGCAAAAGCAGTTGAACGACGTAAGTTTGACAACTTGGCTCTTTCTGTGGCTTTTCCCAGTGAATTATTTTTTAATTTTTTTCACCGCACTAATCACTTTGTAGTGCATCGTAACTAATGATAAATAATGGGATGAGCAGGATTTAGATACGAGCATCGATCATTGAGCCCTAGTCATTTTTGCAGCTAGATAGCATAAAGTTCACGTTTGCGGATTACGTACACTATGCTTTTGTCTGGTTTTTAGTGTTCTAAATAGCAACAGCTCAGGTTTAAACTGAACAAGGCAAATGCAGCAGGTCGATCCTACGTAATGGTGGTGGTGGATACCCGGGGAGGATAACAGCACGAAGATTGGTGTACTTAACAAAGCGATGCACAGAATGGAGTTGAACGCCAGTCGATTGCAACATACCAGGACTGAGACAAGAATCAGCAAGTCACCGGTTGAACGATGCTGTCGGAAGCCATACTGGTTGTCACTGAGCATTCCTTTATGTTCGAGGAACGTGCGTAGTTGGTCGATGACTTCGAATACTTACGAAAGAGTATGTGAGGGGAAATGGGTAGGCTATTGTTGAGGTTAGACAGGTCACCGTGTTTATCGGTAGTAAAAATTCCGTCATCCTTCCAACTGGTTGGAGAGGTGGAAAGTTCGTCCTAAATATCATATCATATCACATATATATATATATATCACTTGTCTTAGGACAGGCTGTGCCAAGCAAATCATTGTACAATAATCTTTATAAAAAAGAAAAAGGTTCCATGATTAACATGTTTGCTGAATACTGCCAGGTTGCCCAGGCCAGGGCAGGTAAATTTTCTTGAGGAATCCACAACCGGAGCCTTCGGCTACTCAACGCCTGTCCCGCGAGACAGCAAGGTGGTGTGAAAACCGCAATCCATTGGGGGCCGGTATCCAGTTCATCGAATCATACGCCCTTTGAACGGGGTCAAACATCCAAGGCGCCCCTCGATACCCAATCGAGCCGGTGACCACCACCACAACCGAAAAGGTGTGGTTTCGTACGCCTCTTCCTGTTTGGTTTGGAATCAGGATTTTTGGCCAACTCCCCTAGGTAAACTACCAGTGGTCCGCCAACCCGGTTATAGCCCCGGATTTCTGCTTTCCGTCTTCTCACTTTGGTGGGAAAACAACACCACGAGGAGGTGAGTAGGGCTTCCTCAGCAGAGGCTGTTGGAGACGCTTAGTCGTATGGCAGCATTTCGTGAGGTGCAAGGGAAGGGTGAACAGGTCCGAAATATACATAATACATGAGAGCAATTCCGGAAGCACTCATTTTGAAGACAGTGGGTCTTTGAAGAAAAATAAACAGACAAGTGAGCATGAAAAGTTCTCGACAGTTCACTAAAATTTCTCTGACCTGACTAACCTAGAATGAAGAAGCTCTATAAAAGTAGCTGAAGGAATGAATTCTTGTTGCAGCAACCCGCGAAAAGGTATCCTGGAATATCAAAAATAACTACTATTGAAAAACCGCAATCCTGAGGTTGGGTATGGACGGCGTATCAAGTGAGGAGGAATCAATTTCATTACGTTGCCATTGTTCAACAAGCAATAACCCTGTGATAGCTAAAGTGCAAAGGGGAAAGAATACATCAGTGGTGTTTCCAGGGCTATCTCCCTGACTTGTTCCAAAGTGTACAATCGATATCCCGTAAGTGTTAGGGTTTCGTGATTACACAGGCGTACTTGTCGTTCGGAAAGGGGTTGGCAGGTTATGTAAACAACAAGATGTGCTTCGTACCCTGTGGTCCGTGGTACGAGCCCCGCCACCACCGCCCAACTTTGGTGATGGACAGCTTTGCTGTCTTTCGGTTTAATACCACGCCTAACCACTCATCAAATTGAGCAATCATATTGATTTAATAATTTAGAAAATACGGACTAGCGTTTATTGACAAGTTCATATTTTTACCGGATTAGTTACCATCATTTCATTTCAGATAAATATCGTGACCGCAGTCGTAGCAGATCAAGATCCCATGACCGTCGTTCTCGCTCTCGTCATCGCTCTACTTCTCGCAGACGGCGCTCACGTTCACGCGAAAAGCGCCGTTCCCGTTCTCGACGCAGTCACGGTAGACGCAGATCACGCACAAGGTCTCGGTCGCGCGATAGGAAGTACCATTCCCGCTCCATCAGTCGTGATCGTCGTCGTAGTGACCGTGGAAGATCCAGGTGAGTACGTTTCTCGAGCCATTTACCAATTTGAGATGTTTGCAATAAATGAGTTCATTTTTTCTTGCTTTCTGTGTTTAGCTATGGCTGCACTATACTCAGTTCTGGTTTCCATACGGTATTCAAGTTATACGTGAATTTGAATATACGATATTTAATTGTTTGTTCAAAGGAAATTTGTGGGTCTCGAGTTTTGACCTCAGCATGAAAAATCGAGCAAATGACCGTCATGACACTTCAGCTTGGCTCATGAAACCTTAGCCAAACATCGTAAACTATCGTGACAGTTGTTCCCCTCAAAGAACACCCGAAACAGTCTAAGCAGTCAAAAACAGTCTTCATTGAACCGTTTACCATAGATCGTGTCCGTTGTCAAATTTTCTTTCTCTGGTTGCTCTCTTTTGATAATGAGTATATGACTGGTTGACTAAAAGTTGTAGTTTCACTTTGAACAGCCATTAACCACGTACTTTCTTGATCCGGTCGTGGTTGCTGTCTCTTGGCTGCCCATTTGCACGCAGCAATAGGAGGGAGGTTAAAAGTAGAGTCAAGGAGAAAATGGAGAATTTCAGTAGACTAATGTTGCATAGAAATTGAAATGTACGAACGTCACTGTTTGCGACAGCCACATCACTCACGGTCTCCAAGCATCTGTTACGATCTTCCCGAGGTCCCCAGCCAAGGAGCCAAACAAGACCCGTAACCGAGTCTCCTGGTTTAGGTTTTCATACTCTTTCCAGGTCTTGGTTTGACCATCCTTGGCTTCTTACCACCAACTACCTGCCTCGGCAAAAATCGGTCGCCGTGGCAACATATCCCAACCAACTTAATCTATGGAGGCTGACCACTTGCTCCAATGGGCGACCGCGGTTACCTAAGACAGCACCTAACCTCCGCATCGCTCTTCCGGTTACCCCAACGGACTCATGCAGTGTATCGTAGTCAATAGTGTTCAAACACGGACAGTCTATCTTTATCCTGTTTTCTTAATGGCCAAGTTTCTGCATCCTACAGCTGAACTGTCCGATTTGCCGCGGCATATACTCCACTCTTAACAGACATCCGGGTGTCGCGACGGCGCCATAGGTGTCTCAAGATGGTGACTTCCAACCGAGCATTCTGTATGCAAGCTGACACTTAATCCGTGATGCGTACACCGAGTGTGGTGTAGCTGCCCAGATAGAAAAACTTATCCACTTGCTCTGTTACCTTCCCAGATAAAGTGAAGCTGGGTACTGGGCTAACTCAGTCTTCTAAGAAAATTCCATACGCATACCGAACATGGTTACACTGACGCTCAAACTATCCAGAAAAGCTTGCAACTTACCTGGATTATCGCTTAGCAGCACAATGTCGTCTGCATATTCCCGATCAGTCTTCCATCTGGGAGCAAATCGATG